TGCGCGTCGAAAAGAGCTGAGCGTGCAGTGCTGTAGCTATAGGAAACAACGTATGATCCTATATGAACAGTTGGCGTCAAAACAAGGAAAACTGTTTTTTTAGTTATAAAAAATGTTATAATACTGATCTGACGCTAGAATTACCAAGTCCTTCTAATTCAACATTATTACAAATTAAAACTGTATAAAACAAAACTTTTTAAATTTAGTGTACATTGTATCGAGCAAATTATGATATTATAATGAAATAAAAAATTAACTATCGGGAGAATATATTATAGAACATGTACACACTTCGCTGAGAATGAATTGTGGTTCTCCAATGAAAAATGTTATAGAAATAAAAAGTAAAACTGGGAATATAATAAAAAAGTAAGAAATAATAAATTGATAGTCTATATTCTTCTTTAATTTCGTGTTGATTAGGGTGTACTTCAATTTCATTGCAATATCTGACATCAAGTACAGATTGAATAATTTATGATGAAATACCAAGATCATATTTGAATCTCATTTCAAAACACGCGGTTTACGGTGATACAGGGGTGACTCCAACTCGCGCATGCGCACTGTTCTTAGCGTCAGTAATGTATCTAAGACCATAAAACTGGCGCTTTAGTCGCCCCAAAGAATGGGTGCGTTCATCAGAGACAGTACTTGTGCAACTGTTGAGCAATTCTTTTCAATTTCTTGCTCTGTTGTGATTCGTCAATTCCAAGTGACTAGAAGAATTAAAGCAGAGAATCCAAGAATCGCTCAACAATTGTTTCTGTTAAATGCACGCAATGATAGAAGTATAAAAGAATTAGGTTCGTGCATAGTTTTCTATAGTTATAGTACTGCGCGTGCGCATTTTTCGTCATGCATGCGTGAGTTGCGACATGGCATCAATGCGTCTGAACATGACGTTTTATCTAAATAATCGTTAATTGTTCATTTCATTCTCTCATACCACACTATGAATTATTCTATAATAACTTGGAAGACGCTATTTTCATTATTAACATTATCCTCGAGTAATATTAAACAGTAATGTTTTGAGTTGAACCATCACGATTTGATTCTTTCTCCATTGATTTTTCAGTCAAGTTTGTAAAGTATAAATTGGAGTTCGATACGCCTGCGCTGCATCAACCCATCCATGGTGGTCTCACCCTTCTTCAGAGAACAGCAGTGTGGTAGCTCAAACTAGCTCAAGCTCAATGAATCCATTACCCTCATAATATGGAAGTTCATTTTCCCAGCCAGGACCATTTGAAAACTAAGAAACTGAGTCTGTATAAAGAAAAGAAGAATGCGTTGCTCTGGCAAAAGGGTTTTGCTCTGGCTATTGCCAGTACTGCTTCTCATTCTGGTGGGACGCCTTCTAGTGGGTCGTGGTCACAGCCAACCAATTCCAGTATTACTCGATGACGTCCTTACGCCAAAGAGTTACTTCAGTTCTCAACGACATTCTCAGCGTATGCAAACTGCAGCACCTGCATTCACAGCAGGCATGTACATGGTGGGTCTGCAACCCAGGAACAGTTCTTGCAGATGGTACCATGGTCTACCCGATGTTATATCGTATCCGGCATCCAAAGTCACCTGGAGCCCGGAAATCGGTGAGAAGAGCCCCTACAGAGTCCTACCGTTTGTATTAGTCGGAACCGAGGAGAGGAACAAGCTGCCCGAGGTGACCCTCTGCACGCACGCTACTGCAGATCATGTCTATGGAATCGTGGAGTTGGTCAGGAGATGGGAGGGCCCGTTGAGTCTGGCCATTTTTACACCTGGCCTCGATGCTGGCACCGCCGTTGCTCTCCTCGATCGGGCCTGTCGATGCGAACCCGAAATGTACAAGGTTTCCCAACTCGATGTCAGAACGGGTCGCTAGTAGCATGATTAAACTCGATACTCTGACTTTTATTGTACTCTTAGAAACTGTTTTAATTATCGATAGAATGCAATGGTGGCCAAATTTGGTCCCAATAGCCATTATCGCCTATCAGAAGTACTCACATTCTTCTCTCTTTCTAATTTGTACACTTTTGCAGGTTTCTGTCCATCTGGTGTTTCCAAGAGGTCACCCACCCACTTTGAGGCAAGTCAATCAGATCCAGGGTGACTGTGCTGCATCTGATCTCCAAAGAGGAGATGCAGAAACAGAAAGGAAGCAGAGGAGTATGACATATCCTATCAACGTGGTTAGAAATGTGGCCAGGACACAGGCGAACACCACGCGTGTTCTAGTGACAGACATTGAACTCTTGCCCAGCAAAAAACTGGCGTCTGGTTTCATGGAAATGGTTCGTGGTAGACCACCAAAGACAGGAATCGTCTTTGTGCTGCCAGTTTTCGAGGTGGAAGCCAACAAGCAGCCACCTTCGACAAAGAAACAGCTGCTCTTGGCAACGAAAGCTGGTACAGCTGTATATTTCCATAGGTTTGTACGAATTAATACAATGTTACTGAGATTACTATCGATTACTATTAGTAGATATTTGTTGTACATTCAGAGAGTTGGTTAATAGAGGTATATGTTTGATGATATCATAGGTTCCTCTGCTCGCATTGCCAAAGATTCCCTGGTCTGACCAGGTGGATGATTAGGCCAGATCCAGGCAAAGTCAAGCCACTTATTTTTACTAAAAGAGAATATCCGCACCATAGGTGGGAACCAATTTTTATTGGGACACAGGATGATCCCTTGTACACAGAAGATATGTCTTGGGAAGGCAGGCAAGATAAAATGTGTCAGGTACAATTTCATACGTCAATTTATGGATAAGATAAAGTTCTAATATAACAAGAATTACATTTAACATGTGATTGTTTAATATTTTGGGAAACATTTCACTAAATGTCATTGACCTTTTCTTTAGCAACAAGAGCTTTCCACGTCTTATTTTAGAAATTAATAGTATTCTAATCATTCATTTTAAAAAATAAAAATATGAAAGAAATTCCAAACAAAACTCTATTTACATTGTAATTAGTCTTGGTTTCTAAGAAAATCTTGGAGTATTCCATTATTTCTTCTTCTAATATCATGTTATCAAAGATATAAATGTTTAATGTATGTTATGCTGTGTATTTATTTATTTATTTATTTATTTTAGATGTTTGAGATGTGTCTTTTGAACTATCGGCTGGTTATACTCGATGGTGCCTTTTTAGTCCATACGCCAGGAATTAAGCGAAAGAAAATGAAGGTTGACACAGCGAAACAGGAATTGTTGAAATCTCACGAGAAAAGAAATGCTAAGATCTATCAACGTGTAGTTAAGCGCTTGTTGAAGCAATATCCTGTTAATCGCAAATGTGCACAATGATATCAGATTTTACTAATCAGTGTTCTATCAAAATTGCTATAATACGAGATGTAAAATACATTTTTAATAACTAAATGTTCTCATTTTCGGATGAAAGTTTTCTAATGCACCGAAAATAAATTGAAAACATAAGAAACGAATGTAAAATTAAGACATATAATTATTTACACATAGAATATAACGATAGTATAAATATTAATAAACACAGCATATGAATGAGAACTGTTGAACAATTGTTTCTACTGAATGGCTAATGTATACACGAAAGAGATATAAATAACTAAATGCACATATTAGAATATTATCTGTATTAATTTAGAAATAAGTAATGAAAATCAGAAGTTATAAACAGTTACAAAATTGTTGTATAATAACTGGAATAGCTTTTCAAATGTTTAAACTGTTAATACTAAACGTCTTGTGACAACAAATGACTAAACACAGATGAGAACAAATACAGCAAAGAATGGACATCTTATCATCTTACTTGTTTCTACGTATACACATATACTTTTTAGCTTATCAATTATTATTACAAGTTATACTTAAGAGTTACATGTAAACATATGAGATTACAAAAAGAAAAAAACTACTGATTTTATATTTTCACACTCGCATAAATGTTTTGGTTTACCAATGTTTCAAAGATTGTTCTTAAATGTTTGTCATGGGTCATATTTGATACTTGGTTGCTTCAAAATGTGAATTTTATTTATTTTTATTTAGTGTCTTTATTATAGTATACTAGAATAGGATGTGAAAGAGAAAAAGAAGGGGTATCCCAAATTATTTTATCCTTCATTACAGGCAAAGTAACTGAGCGACAAACTGAAAATTGCTGATCCTAATAATAAACTAACCTTAAAATTAGACCATATCGTTTGAAACTTATTTTACAAGAAACGTTACGAATTAAATTTACATAAACTTTATACATTTGTAAACTAGACTCAACCTTAATTTATCTTTCGTCATAAAGCCATAAATTAATAAAATAAAAATTGTAAAATGTCAAAATACTGAAGTTACTCGTATCGCACAATTTAGAATTAGATTTCTTCGTTAATAACCATTATTTCGATTCGCTTGACTCGATTTTACAAAATTCAAGGATAACTGAAACAAAATTAAAAACCCATTATAATTTAACAATATTCCAAACATGTTTACATATATTATTTACCTCAATGCTAAAATTAACTATAAAAATTTATCAATACAAGTAACCGATTCATTGAAGGTTATCCGTGAGACACTTTTTATCAAAATGATTACAGTTTACAAGAGACGATTGTATAACCAAAGTAGGTACATACATGTTTGGTGACGACTATACACACCGCATCAGAATACCAATTATAGACTTAAATGCACGTCCAACGGATCACATTCAAAAAATACATCCTAAGCGAGTCAACGAATAGTTATTTACCGCAAACACAGGATCGAACTAGTTGAACAAAATTAAAAGTAACGATTAAAGTAAGAATCGAACGACGTATTCGTGTGCATAGGGCGCAGTAGTGGCGGCGTCAGAATCTCGTGAGTATCTCTGAGTGTCTGAGAAAGGTAGCTGAAGTTTGCGCTGCAAAGGCGGTTTCAGTAAGTATTTATAAGTATTCGTTTAATCGTTTCAATTCAACGATTTCTTTACAGAGAAATTAATGAACTCGTAACAAGTCTAATGGGCACGTCTGATTGCAGGACGACGATGAATATAATAAAGAACGTCTCGTCGGCTTTCTGGTCGACGGATGTTTGGTTACCGCCTAACATAACATGGGACGACATCAAACCAAATTCCGAAAACAAATACGCCAATTATCAGCATTTAATTTACCCCATACCCATGGCACTTATCCTTTTGATAATCAGATACGGTTTCGAGAGGTAACAATTCTTTATTCTCTCACTTTCGATTCTCGAATTTCAAGATTTCTCGATTAGATTGAGGTTACGATCCGTTTCGTTACCCATGCTTCACATTATCAGAAACATCTAATTACTCGTGTAATTTAAATTGTGAGTAGACTGCAATAATTCATGTACATGATACATATATGCATGGATATGCCACTCGACGTTCTGTGAAAAGAGAATTTTTGGGTCTAGAGCAGTGGTCGGCAAACTTTAAAAGCTAAGGAGCTAATTTCATTACCGAAGTGTCGAAGGAAAATTTGTTAAATTTATTGAATAATCGAGTACGCTGTCGTGTATACCTTTATGTAAATAATATATTCACATGCAAGTATTAAACAGTTTAATTAGCGAGAACAATGTGTTTACATTTCCTTAAAAAGGTAAATTATTATTCATAAAGATCTATGAAAAAAATTATTGTTAAAGAGGCATAGTTTCCCGATCTCCGGTCTAGAGTATTAATTGAGTTATACGAGACAATTTACTTCATTGATCACTCTGTAGGTATTGTTTCGCACCATTCGGAAAGTCTCTTGGCATAAAAAATACGAGGTCAAAGAAGGCGCCGTCAAATGATGTACTAGAGAAAGCCTATGTCAGTAGGAAAATTAAGCATAAGCAGGTGAGTTTTGTTACATAGCGTTATAGCTAAATTAAAGGAATTTTGTTAGGTAGGAATATGCAATTCATATGTTACTTTACTATATAATATACTGGTTTACAGAGATTTTCTATCAGTTTTCTAGTATCAAAGTAATGCAATACTTCGTCAACTATTATTGAGATAATATTAGTGCTCTTGTCATTGTATGAGTTATAAGATGTAAATATTAACCAGAGAATGTTCTAACAGACAAAATAAATATTGTATGATAGTAATGTTATTAAAATAAGAAATATTGTTGAATTGTCCAATCACTGCCGGTTGGTAAAGTGTTAATAAACAGAGTCAATTCACTAAAATTAATTGAGAGGCTTGAACAAAAATGAATTTGAATATATGCTTGTCCTTTTATATAACTAAAAGTCACAATTGAACCTTGTTAATTAAATATTCTTGTGTATTCGATTAATAAGATAACAAAATTCATGTTTGTAATCGATGCATCGCAAAGGTAATCTTGGCATGTACAGTTAAGTAAATGATTTACTAATTCGTGTATTCCTGAAATAAAATACCACCAATTGTTTGTAAGATCCTGGGATTGGCTAAACAATTAGATTGGTCCGAACGACAAGTAGAGAGATGGATGCGATTAAGACGTGCACAGGACAAGCCATCCACGCTTACAAAATTCTGCGAAAACAGGTTGATATTTTATTCTAAAAAATTATGGAAATAATGTGTACTTTAGGAATCAATTCTTTAAATTTATTTAATTAAATTTGATAATGTATGTATTATTTACTCAAACATATTTTACGTTATCAAATATGCTTTTTCTTCACAGCTGGAGATGTTTGTATTATACATATTCGTTTCTTTACGGCCTGATTATATTGTGGAACAAGCCATGGCTGTGGGATATTAACCATTGTTACTATAACTATCCGTACCATCCAGTTTCGGCTGACGTATGGTGGTATTATATGATATCCATGACCTTCTACTGGTCCTTAAGTTTCTCGCAATTTTTCGACGTGAAAAGAAAAGATTTCTGGCAAATGTTCATCCACCATATAGCTACTATCATGTTGATGTGCTTTTCGTGGATTGGAAATCTGACCAGAATTGGTACATTAGTATTATTAGTGCACGATTGTGCAGATATATTCTTAGAAGTAAGTTTAACTGCGTATCATACAAAATTCTAAAATTATACGTGTTTACTAATATTTATATATTTATATATTTTTCAGGCTGCGAAGATGGCAAAGTATGCTAATTACCAAAAGTGCTGCGATTGTATATTTGTTATTTTTACAATACTATGGATTGCCACACGTATCGGTGTCTTTCCATTTTGGATAATTTACAGGTACATTCTAATAATCTTACAAGGGAACCTTACGTATCTAGTATCACAGATCTTGATGAAATTTTGTTGGATTACTGTACAATACTAGTAAACATTTTGTGCAAAAAATTTTTAGTAATGTCTCTCTATTTTCGAAAAAAAATAAAAGTTTACGAGCGATTGATAAGCCAAGTGCTTTTTTCGACTTGCGTTCGATTCCCGGATCATCAAATTTTCTTTTTTATTTTATTATCTTTCTTTTTTATTGAACTTTATATATTTACAATTTATTCACAGGACCCTTAGTTTCGAAAATAAAGATTGAAAAGTGAGAAAAGGTCTTCTAAGTTATCAATTTTTATCTCTGAAACTAAACGTCGCATGAATAAACTGTATATATGAAAAAATTTCATTTTGTCATTCTCTATAAGGCGATATTTTTTTAAAATTCGATTGTTCGACTATTGCTTATTTTCTTTAAAACAATTGCATCAGGATCAGACCATTACGAGATTTCAGAAAAGAGGTCTTTTAAGTTTTTAATGTTAATTTTTGAAACTAAACATCCTATGAATAAATTGTAAATATAAAGAGGTTTCGTTTTGTCCATCTTTATAAAGTGATATTTTTTTTAAATTCACACCTGTACACCTCTTAGAATTTCCATTAAAAATCATCCTGCGGTCAAAAGATTAATGTTTTTCACTGCAATTAAATTTAATTTTTTGTTACAGTACATCGATAAAGGCTCCTAAGATAGTACCAATGTTCCCAGCATATTATATTTTCAATTCTTTATTAATTTTATTACTATTCCTACATATGATCTGGACGTATTTAATTCTTAAAATTGCGTACAATGCTTTTTATGCTGGTCAAGTGAGTTATCGCTATAAACATTTAAAATTTAATTAATTTACTTTTCCTTTTATATTTATGTATATAATTTTTTTAGATGGAGGGTGACATTCGTAGCAGTAGCAGCGAAGATATTTCCGATGCCTGCGTCGATGGTACTTCTTTAAATAACTCTACAAATTATGTTCACAAACAAAACAAGCGACTGAAAGTTCAGTAACAAATAACTTTTTGAACTAGTTACGGTAAGAGTAATAAGGCAAAAATCCAAATATTTAGCCAGGCGCTAATTTATTTCAGCAAACCTAGGGAACTTGCATTTATCGTAGTATCGTAATTTAAAATCTTAACTTAACTTTGATAAAGTTACGAGCAGGCTACAGGCCTGGAACTACTTGAATTTACTTTCTCTTTGTCATTATTAATACTTTCCAAAACGTTTTAGCGCTTTTATACGGTACATGGGAGTCGACAATTTTCGCGTACACAAAATGTTAATTCAATACTCCTAGTATTATTAAGTATGAAAAAAAGAAACAAACGAACATTGAGAAATGTAAATTACTCTTGTTAATTGTATCATTTATTTATATATGTATTTTATTTAAAAGCTTAGAGAATTATTTTTTTTACGTGAATCCTAATTATTTAATTAAACAAACAATGGACCAAAGTTGGGAAATGTTTAATGTCTGTACTTTTCAGCCTTATCGAGGTTTAAGTAATTGATTATGTTTAAAAATGGTTAATTATTCTCTTATACTATATAAATGTCGAACGATGTCTTAAAACTTGTGAGTAAGAAAACTAACTATAGTATTTCCGATGAGTTTTAATATTATTTTTTTTTCTTTTTTTAATTAATTTACCTATTATACAGCTTTCTAAGAATATTTCATTCACTTAATTTATGTAACGTTAAAATAGAGTTCCTTACATTCAAATAAATGTACTTTACACTTTACGCTAGGGAGTGTATATGAAAATTTAGAATACAAAAGGTAAATCTTCAATATAATACAAATAAAAATAATTGGAACATGTATATATCAATTTATTTACATACATTACGAATAAAGCAAAAGATATGTTTAAATATGTACGTTACGTTTTTCATCATTTTTATTTTTGTTTGTTTACGTACAAATCGCAATCCGTCCAGAATTTAGTTTTAGTCGGACTTGCAAGGGGACATCGCATCTATGGGATCTTAAATTTACATGATGATTTATACGTTTATTCTATAGGTAATAAACATCATAACCCTCGAAGTTTTTGTACCATTGAGTCTTAATTTTTATAATATTAATTGTCAGAATTTATAAAGTTTCGTCATTTGTTCAAAAGTTGTAAGTTAAAGGAATATATATATATATATATAGATTATGATTAGTTTAGTGGCTAAAACATCAAATTCGCAAACTGTCTGGTTGCCGCGGTAGGTTTTTTTTCTATAAATCAGCGTCACTCGTGATAAATATGATAAAATATGTGTGGTTTGCGTCGAAATTAATACCAAAAAGAACAATATTTGAAAATGTGAATCAAATTTGTTTTCCAGCAGATTCGAGAAAGTTACGATTCAGTTGCACTGCAATATCTTTTACAACATGTGTAAATTGTAGACAATTTTTATGCTTTGAACGTTTTTATAACTCTTATCATTCGAAATATATCGCTTCAACAGTTTACTGCTGGTTTTTAATATAATTTAATAAAATT